AAAAAAAAAAAACAATTAATTTTATGTTTTTAATTCAAAATAAAAAAAATTCCAAACCTCTTCGATAGTAACCTATCATTTTCACACACAGAAAAAACAACAAAAGAAAAATGTACATGTCTGAAAAACCCCAACCACCGCAAGAATCCGCCATCGATTACTACACCACCGCCACCGGCGGCAAGCAGGAATCTCCGCACCGCAACAGTAACATGATCATCCACCTCAGCCCCCAATCCCACCTCCAGCAATTCCCCGACGGAGCCGCCGCCACCCCCACTGCCGGAGACGACACCGCCGCCAACAACCAGACCTCGGCCAACCCGGCATCCTCGGGGGGCCCCAAGAAACGGGCCGAGACGTGGGCCCAGGAGGAGACGCGGGCCCTCATCTCCCTCCGCAAAGAAATTGACATGCTGTTCAACACATCGAAATCGAACAAGCATTTGTGGGACAGCATATCTATGAAGATGAGGGAAAAGGGGTTCGATAGATCCCCAACGATGTGTACTGATAAGTGGAGGAATTTGTTGAAGGAGTTCAAGAAAGCCAAACAGAATAACCCAGATGGGGGTGTTTGTTATAAGATGTGTTATTACAAGGAGATTGATGAGGTTATGAGTGAGAGAAATAAAAATGGTCCAAGTTGGAAAAGTTCTGAGATTTTGAACAATGCCTGTGCTGGGTCTGGTGGTTCTAAAGTGGATTCCTTTTTGCAGTTTGCTGATAAAGGTTTTTTTATTCAAATTTTAGCTTCTTTTGTTGTGGTTAAGTATGTTATTGTCTATGGCTAGAGAAGTGAGAGTGTGGAGACACTGAAGTGAACTTTTGGTGCATGTTGTGTTTTTAAAATGCTTGTTTGTGCCGTGCTTTCCGTAAAGATAGTTGTTTACTTTGTCTCTCAATATTGGTTATGTGATTTGAACTGGCACTAGCTTATGTGATTTGAACTCTACTGTTTATAAAGTTGCTCTTTCAATGAGTTGTATTGTGTTACCCGAGTGGCATGTGGCTTCTCTATGTTCTTCTTGGTTCTCGGATATTGATTATAGAAAATATTTGAGGAAGAATAATGATGCTTTGGTTGCTGAAATTCGTCGATTGTGTTGTTATGTTATTAGTTCTGTTTTTCGACCTCAATGGACGATTACGTAAAGTTTATTTGTAGTTTAGTACGCTTGAAAATGTTGCCACAAAATATGCACTGGCGTGTTCATGTGCATTATTGGCGAGGATCTAGAAAATTGTTCGGTATCGGTAGGAAGATTGAGTTGACTTTATTGTTTAACGTGTTGCGTGGTTTCTTTATGCTGGTCGAATGATTTTCCCTCGATATCATCTTGTGAAGTATGAGTTCTCTATTATGATTATCCTGTTTCTGTATCTAATATCTTTACACATTTGAAGTATAAGGCCATAAATGTTTTCTTATATCTATGAATCACGTTAACTTCTGAATACAATTTAACCTTTACAGGTATTGATGATGCCAGTCTTCCCTTTGGACCCGTGGAAGGTATGAAACTAATTTTTCTTGGCAATTTTATGGGTAGTATAACTTTTGTTTAATGGAACTGCGATCATTTGCCCTAGCACTAGCGATTTTATATTCGATATAATAAATGTTAACCTTAAAAAATATCATAATTATGGAGGATTGTTTGATCCGTAAAAGCCGTACAGGGATTTTAGTGTTTTTCCTTACGTCATGCATTCTGACATGTGCAGATCATTTAGTGAAGTAACAACCTTTGGCTTCCTGCTTCCTTAACTGTATTATTCACTGGAAATTTGCACCAAATCTTGAAAAAAAAAAAAGTTTGCTTCATTTAGTAAATGAGATTTATATAGCATATTAGCCATTTTCTCAGTCACTCTGCATGGTCATTTCATTTTCTTGCTTGTCCTTATTTACGGTCAACTGTCTGTTTGGATCTTTTCTCTTGTTCTTTTCTTTTTAATGAATGTTCCCTAACAGATTGTTGTTTTTCCTTAGCGACCCATTCTGATTCTGATTCTAATTATATATTTTTGAATAAAATCGTTGGCACACAGCTAATGGAAGGTCTACCCTTAATTTAGAAAGAAGATTGGATCACGACGGACATCCTCTTGCCATAACTGCTGCTGATGCTGTTGGAGCTAGCGGGGTTTCTCCATGGAATTGGAGGGAGACTCCTGGAAGTGGTCAGTCTGACTTTTCATTGAACATGTCAGATTTTCGATTAAAATACTGTAGGTTAAGTTATAAAAGCTACCATTTGTACCTATCTAGCACTTAAAAGATGTAAAGAAGGGATAAATGGGAATTTACGTGCCAAACTATTGAGGTTTTGCACTTTGCTTGCCGAACTTTAGCCAACTCACTATTTGAGCATGTTGCATTTAACCCTCTGGGAGTAACTTGGACCAAACGTGCAAAAGAAGAGCTGTAGTTGGATGGCAAATTGCAATCAACCCCTAATAATTTTGGACTGCTTGTTTGTTTGTTTGTTTGTTTTTTTTTTTGTTTTTTTTTTAATTTACAAAACCTTCTTTAGTTAATAATACCAAGGCTCTTTTCTTTTGAGGTTTGTTAATGTTTGAAGAAACGCATCTCTCTTCAGTGTGTGGTTTCATAATTTGTAATGTAAATTGTATAAACAAATGTTATGAGGGTATATGTAAATTTGAGTTTTTTGAGTGCTTAATAAGAAAATCTAAAAGCCATTAATTAACTTTTTTTTTTTTTTGAGTGCTTAATTAGGTTGGCAAATCTGTTTCAATTTTTTATTTATTTCTTTTTAACAGGTGAACCTACGAATTCCTTTGGAAGGGTGATAACGGTCAAATTGGGTGATTATACAAAGAGAATCGGGATCGATGCCAGTGCTGAAGCCATCAAAGAAGCCATCAAGTCTGCTTTCAGGCTAAGAACAAGACGTGCTTTCTGGTTAGAGGATGAAGAAAATGTCGTTCGGTCGCTCGACAGGGAAATGCCCCTCGGGAACTACACTCTTCATGTTGATGAAGGTAAATTATGAATGATATATTTTTAATTAGTGAATTACCTTTTTGTGGGATCATTCGAGAGTGGGAGAGTTATTTGAACACCTGAGTTATTGATGTGATCACGAGACGGTCCGTTTAAAGTTTGCATCTTTGAGGGGAAAAAAACAAAGGAAATCAAGATTCAGGGTTATGAACTTCAAAAAATTAGACCCGGGATTGAGAAACAAATAATGGATGAAGTTAGTCGACAGATGTAAATAATTATTGGCATCGGGCATTCTCTTACTGTGCAGGCCTGACGATTAAAGTTTGCATCTTTGAGGAAAAAAACAAAGGAAATCAAGATTTAGGATTATGAACTTCGAAAAATTAGACCCGGGATTGAGAAATAAATAATTAGTGAAATTAGTCGATAGATGTAAATAATTATTCGCGTCGGGCATCCTTACTGTGCAGGCCTGAGTCCTGACGATTAAAGTTTGCATCTTTGAGGGAAAAAAAACAAAGGAAATCAAGATTCAGGATTATGAACATTGAAAATTTAGGCCCGCGATTGAGAAATAAATAACTAACGAAATTATTCGACAGATGTTAATAATTACTGGCATCGGGCATCCTCTTACTCTGCAGGCCTGACTATTAAAGTTTGCATCTTTGAGGAAATGGACCAAATGCCAGTACATGCGATGGATAAAACTTTCTACACAGAGGATGATTTTCGTGAATTCCTCACGCGCCGTGGGTGGACTTCTCTGAGAGAGTACAATGGCTTTCGTAATATTGACAACATGGACGAACTTTGCCCTGGTGCTATATACCGTGGAGTCAAATGATCTGCCGTTTGTTTGCGCTCTCTTGTCAAATGAACATCGTTCTTTTTTTTTTTTTTTTTTGTTTCTCATGATAATCTGCCTCACTGTGTTGCAAAGAGAAGTAGGCTTTGATCTGTAAGAAATCTTTTTCTTTTGATATGATTTTGTACAAAATGCACTACATCTCTTTGAATTTTTATGAATGTAGTTTGTAAATATGAAATGTTGATGAACAACATTACTTAATTTGTTAGTTCGCTTGGAGTGATATCCCTTCAAGTTTTGCTCATCTCAAGAGGTTTTAGTCATGATTTTAAGGTTCTGTTTGGATAAAAGGACTTGTACTTGAGAAGAGGATAGTGGGGGGAAGGATTTTAATGGCACCATGATTTAGGAATTCCTCAAAAGATATGGATATATAAATCAAAATGGCTAGTTATTGGGAATAAATGCTCACCATACTTCAGGAGGAATTTGACAAGTGGTGTCGTGGTGTAGTTGGTTATCACGTCAGTCTAACACACTGAAGGTCTCCGGTTCGAGTCCGGGCGACGCCATTTAAATGATACTGTTTTTTTGGGATTTCTGAAATTAAAAAAAAATTCTTTTTATTTTTTTTTGGTCAAATGACATGCAGGCATAATATATGTTAAGTCTCTCATGACTAACTTGAAACAAAATATCTCTGAACTTCTCTGAAACTTCCCGTAAGCTTTCTTCAAGTCTCTTCAAACTCTGAAAATTGCCCGTCGCCTTCCCCGGTAGGGCGTGTCGAGAGCTCGGCGGTGGCTCTTCTGGGCCTTGTTGCTCGCAATGAAGAGAGGAGCCGCTGGAAGGAGCTTTTTCGCCGGGAAGTAGCTGGTGCCGTCCTCCGGTCTCTAGCCTCTGGTTCCGAGCTTGAGTGGCGGATGTCTGGCTCTCCTCCGGTATCTCCGCTGTGGCGGCTTCCAGCGCTCTCTTGGAGTGAGCGGCGATCC